CGAGCGGTTCAACCGTGTAAATGAAAGTACACATCAATGTGGTTCTATGTTGAATGACTTTAATTGACCAACTTGTTACCTTTTTGGACATAAATTAAATAAAATGGCACAAGAACACCTTCATGGAAGAAAACGTTGACTTTGCACCCGTTTAGACCTATTATTTGATCACATTATGTATTTGTGGTTCATCTACACCTGTATTAAAACTGTCAACTTGAGATTGAATCACCCAAGATATATTTTTGTGGTAGAAGTCAATTATTTATCAAATCTAGGACTTTACCTTATTTATAAGTTACTGGGTTAAAACCCCATACGAGTAGAAATCAATATCCTTGTTTTCCTCACCTCCTTGTTCACCATATCTTTTCCTGTGTTTGCTAAAGAGGAGCCGTACATCATTGCAGCGTTGGCCATCGGGTCAGCAAACATGTTGTTCGGCCCAGCGCCCCCTTGCATGTCATTTTGGGGTCCTGCCATATTGTACCCAGGAGTGTAGTATCCTTGACTGTTCATTGCTGGTGCTGCAGAGCTGGTGTCATCAAACAGCACAGAGTCTGCTGTGGGAGGGGGTGCACGAGCTCTCGGTTTAGCTGTGGAAAGGAAAAACACAACGGATTACAAAGAGGGTATTTAATAAGTATCAAACCTTGGTGATATTCATGTATTTACCAGCTTATTATCTACAATATCAACTATAACCTGAACTCAAATGGTTTAATTTGTTCATATAATAGATGAATATGAGTGATGAGCAAGATAATGAGAGAAGCTCCTGCAACAAATCCTATTCAAAAAGTTGTGATTTTCAGTTTGTGTACCATTGTTTTATCCTATTGTTGATTCAATTAAATGTACAGTTTTAGAGGCTGTCATTGTGATGCTTGAATTGTAATGCATTGGACTGGTCTTTCTAATATATTTTCCAAACCACGTAGATCAATTAAGGTGGACTATAATAAACCTAAAGCAGGAAGAGATTAACTTAAGCTCAGTGTGCCTAGCTGTACTTGGTAAGAAAATAGGAAGTAGAAACCATGGACGGATATTTGTCAAATTTTTCCCAAAAACGTTAACTCTTAGTAATACGGTGATTCATGAAGGTTCCACTTACTTGCTCGGTACCCCTGTTGTGGCAAGTCCATGTTGACGTTTGCTGACGTTAGCTTAAAATAAAAACATTCACACAATAGCTACATCTCAGCTAATTTAAGTCATTTTTGTCATCTTAGAGCAGCACTGTGATGTTATACCACAGCTTACATTAAAACACATTTAATTCAATACATGATACAAGTAAGATGTTAGCTTTGCTCACGCTAATACCAACAGCTAACCTAACAGTACGTGTAAACTTATTCAATGGTAGCTAACAGTTAATGCTAACAGTTACTGCTAGCTACATAGCCAGGCAAGCTAAGTTAACAACATCATATTTTCAACCAACAGTCGATGAAGCCGCCCAGTTGGAATACACATATAAAATCAGTATTTTAAAGGTACACACTGCGTGACTGATGGATAATGTTTACGATTATTAAGTAAAAAAGGAGCAGAAGAGCCCAGCTTACCTGCACAGCTAACGTTGTTAGCTAGCTACGTGGCTACAACCGGACTGATCCCACCCATCCACTGCGGTTGGCTGAATTCAGTGTGCCTGCGTGGCAGACAACCATGTAAGTATACAAGTACACAGCTGTCCAAATACACACAGCAGGTACTGCTAAGACTTCCTTGTGTAAATCATTTTTGATCTTACTAATTTCTTTCCTATTATTGGTTGCATTTAGAACTTTAGAGGGAAACTGATTTATTACATTCTCAGTAGTGGCACATAACTTGTTCTTAATGAACTGTCAGTATTCCTGCCAATGTATACTTCCAGTACACTACAATACAATTCTGAGTTGAATATGCAACTTAAATCTTACCATCTGTCGTAGGGCGGTGGTGGCTCAGTCCGTAGGGACTCGGCCTGGGATCCGGAAGGTTACTGGTTCGAGTCTCGGAACGACTAAGTGACTACCGAGGTGCCCCTGAGCAAGGTGCACTACACTACTCCCCGAGCGCCGACCTAATGGTTGCTCACTGCTCCTAACACTAGGATGGGTCAAATGCAGAGATCTTTTGATTGTAATACTCTTACATAGGTAACATTTTGAATTATAACAAAGTATTTCTAGCTGTGAGACTGCACAAGTATGTTTAATCCACTGCTAGACCCTACTGTACACGCCTGAGCAAGACCATCACAACAGGCATGATGTAAAGGTCAGCATTCATAAGACATACTCATTTGGTTGCAATAAAAACAGATGGTTGCAATCTACAACATTGTTATACTCATCGCAGGTTTATGCATCAAGTAAAGATAGATTTAAAAAAGTAACTTTTGAAAGGTTTTAAAGTAAATTTACTAAAATAATGTCCGTATGTCCAATTTTGAGATACTTGTAGTTAGATTATTTTCATTTTTAGCACCTTTATACAGTACCTATGCTTCATTATTTGAACATTTAAAACAAGTTAATTAAATGTAAAAATACTAAACAGTAGTCAAATAATGCAGTTAAATGAACTCCATCTGGACCAGCCACAATTCCACTACTTTCATGTTGGCCACTTAAGAACAAGTTGTTGCTATTACTTCAAAAGTATTTTACTAACATAACCTTAATACATTTTACTATGCATCTATACAATACTATTTCAATGCCAAGCTAAAAAATATATAATATGTTATAAAAATATTTCCCATAGGCCTACCCTTTTACAGTATTTTAAATTACATTATTGAAATACTATTACCACTTTTATAGATTTGAATCGACATTTATTTTACTACCAGTAAACTTTACATACTTTGTTTAGGCATGTAACAATATGCACTGTACAGTCACAGCAAAACAATTAAGGTGTGAATTTAACACCCACTAAAACAAATTAAAAAAGTGTGTGGCATGAGGATGTTTAATGCTTTGTGAGGCATGTTTGTGTGTGGGATGTGTGGGTGGGTTTGGGGGAGTTTTTTAGGATGAGTAAATGGTATTGGAATCTAAACTTTATTTTTCCCCTCCAGAAAATGGTTATCTTTTGTAGGGAAAACATGGAGTGAAAACCACTAATATGCTAACATGTAATATACAAAATTCAAAATATTAAATTCAGTACGTTACTCACTAAAGTGGGCATGTCTGATGCGCAGACATTATCTAATAAAAAAAGAGATAAAGGAACAGCTGGTGGATGAATGACGCTGCAATCAGGAGAAAAAAGTTGACCGACATGTTGGGACTTGTCACAATTAGAGACACAGCCTGTTTGGCCTCATAGCATTCCTGAAGATTTAGTCATCAGACTCTCACCTTTACCCCATATCTCTTCCGATGATACCATCAACCACATTGACAATAAAACATCCTGTATATTTTTCCTCATTATCACAGGGGTGAAATATTGTTGAAATGTGAAATTTAAAACTTGGGAGTGAAATGGACCAATAAGCAACAGGCATGCTTTATTCAATGTCATGCTTGCGGCAGTTTCAGTTTAACTCCATTGTATCTATCCTCCTCATTCATAAGTTATGAAGAGACAGAAGGCCACGATTCAACGTCTTAACTTCTCTGTAGATGAGGGTTAGTAATATACAAAAAAATTCTCCTTTTCCCACCTAAAAGATTTATCACAAACCGTCTTTGCAATTATCTTTAGTGACTCTTTTAAAAAAACATTAATATTCCACACTTCTTATTCCTACAGTACAGAGTAGAATTAGGAGTAATGTGAGACACTGGTGTATCAGCAGTGAGGAGAAATGTGCCTTTGCCGGGAACTCTGTCCTTGGGGACTGCAAGGTCAGCAGCTGCTGTGACAGCCTAAGCTTACTGAATCTACAGCATGCAGCTTTTGAATCTCGTCTATTTTGTGCTTGATAGTAAAAAAATCAGTTGTTGAAACGGTTAGTGAATTAATTGAGAAGCACTGTGGCGATGCACTGACTCATCTCCACAGGCATGCTTGTGTGTTGATGTGGTTTTTGTAGTGAAAGTGACTACCAAAGACCTAAGACCTCACCACCATTAGGCTCATGCTTCTAGCTTTATCCCTACTTTATGATCTGTTTCATAACTGATCCTGGAGCAGATATTTAATCTTAAAGTTCATATTTAAGATAAAATGTTAGCATTTTTTTTCTTTCTGCTGTCTCATAATAAGAGTTTTAACTACTATCAGACCAGACAGTTATAGTCGACAAATAGTGGAATTAGCTCTTTGTTATGTAAAAGTGTTTTTACTGGTATAACATATTAAAGTCCACAATTTCATGCTTACATAAGTCATTGGTAAAGTCTGCTATTAACTAATTGGTTTTCCCATCATAATCAAGATATTTATAATTTCTGAAAACTATTTGAAAATGAAAACTTAGTCAGTCACTGCCTTTACACAGATACTAGTGATACGTTTGGGTTGACATGGCCGGAAAGCAATACAGTTTATTATTTTAATGATTGAGGTTGTATTTTTTAGTGGTAATGTGATAGACGACAATATTTTCAGAATGACATGATGGAGGGAAGAATGTTATTTCAGTATAATTCAGAACACTTACTGCAACCTCAGTAACAATCATAAAGGTACAATTTCTGGCAGATCTGTTAATAAAGTGACAGTGTTCAATTTTTTATATAACAAAACTTTTTTGTATCACCTTTTATTCAAATATTTAACGTTAGAGTAAATTAATTATTACGTAATCGACAATACTTCCACTGCTGTAGGAAATTGCAGTAGTATTTCAACCAATGCATCAGAAGTGGTTTCTGTGAGGAATCCCGCGTGGAGGAAACTCTCACCATATATGGTCAATTACGTCACGGCACGTGGTTTGATTCGTGCGAGGTTCCAGACAGCACTATTTCCCGTAACTACGGAGGGGCGTGGTGAACATACAGTGCCGCTTTAAGAGTTTACAACCTCACAATCATTCCCAGACTTTTGGTTAAAAATATATGACTAACCCCGGGAGGACGTACTGAAAGTCGTTTTCAGAGGTTTTAAGGCGATTTGAAAAAAAGCAAGGCGATATTTTCTTCCTTGTTCCCCCCTTGAAGACGTGCCTGTTTGGACTCTACCGATTTACCGCAATAAGGTGGGCTTGCCCAGAGTTTGAATTGACACACGAGAATCATCCCGAAACTACTTTTCGTGAGAGGTAAAGGCTTTATATCCACAGCCGGGTGCTAGTTTCTTTTCATTTAAACAGAAAGGATGTATCAAAACTTTGGGAATCAAGGGAGAGGCAACCCAGCGTACACTGGCAGCTCCTCTGGGTCTCACTCCCAGGGAAGCACCAGCAACACACAGCAGGAGCAGGTTGGTGAACTTTCAATTAACTAGACCATAGGTTATCACAGAGTCAGGGGTCAAATCGGTAAAACATAATATTAACTTTCTTGTAAAAGTAACAAACAGTTGTTTAAATTGTAAATACCAAGCTACCCTATATATATATATATATGTTTTGTGCAGTAGAATACAGGCATTATACCCAGTAGGAATAGGAATGTAACACTCCTGATTTTTCATTTTTATTTTTGCTTGAGCATTTAAATTGTATTCTTTATTGTAGTTTACATCTAATCCACTGTATCTCAGAGGGGAAATGTTGTACTTTGGACATATGATAACAAATGATATGATGCTACACTACTAACCCAGTATACAAACTAAGTTGGCTCGATATTGACAATCTACAAGATACAAATAGATAGATACTTTAAATATATACTCATTCAATGTGATTAAAACTGAATAATAGCCATTAGTACAAGAACACTTTGGATTCTGCATAAGAATAAATTTACTTTTGATAGGCTACCATAGGAATTTTTTTTTATACTTTTTAGAAGATTTTTACTTATGTAATCATTTACATTCAGAGATTTTATTTGTCAGTTATTCCTACAAAAAGGATGTGAAAACTTCTTCCACCACTATTCATATTGGAATTAGTCAAACTCAATATTAAGGATCTTAATTATTTTCAACAATAATGGTTTACTTTAATTGTTTTGCGTTAAGACTCTGTGTTTTGTAGTCGATCCCATCTTAAATTAACTTTATTAATGTTTGTCTTTTCAACCTATTTTGTGTTTGTCTTTTCAACCTATTTTACCCAGAAGTATACAATGTCCGGCAGCAGTCAATTTGTACCAAGCCTCAATGCCATTACAACCAACCAGGACCTCCAGTGGTTGGTCCAGCCCTCAATCCTGCATCCGCCGGGCCCTTCAAGATCTCCAGTTCCTCCCTACCCAACCCTCTCCGGGGCACGGCCTCTGGCTCCACCACCCCATTTTCTCCGACCAGGTGTCATAAGAGCTGCTGCACACACTACTGCTTCGACAAGGCACAGGAATGACCAGCATGTAAGAAAGTACTTCTTAATTAATCTGAAACTTTATGAACATACAAACACTGATACAGACACTGGTTAGTGTGGATTGTGTGTGTTTTTGCTGTTGAGAAATAGTGATACTTGTCATCCTGCGAGGTATTAACTTAGATCTCTTGGGAGTCATATTTTCCCTATTGGAGGGGCAGTTCGTAAGGGGTGTGGAGGAGCAGAATCATTTGTGTAACTAGTGTGTAATACCCTCTATGTGTCATTTCCTTTTGACTTACACATCCGATAAATACATTTAGCAATAGAGTAAGGACAAGATTGTGTAGAGAGGTTACTTAATATATATTTTTTTAAAAGGATAATTTGCTCCCAGGAGGAAAACACACTGTTTATGTTCTTTGATGGTGTTTACTTTGACTCAATGTTGATTCAGTAAAATGATCACCTGTGACACACTGTTTGCAAAGATTAGTGTTTTGGCAGGAGAGCAATGTCAAGTATATAAAAAAACAAGATACCATAGATGTTAAAGTGACCCAGTTTTAACCTTTAGAGCCATCACCCTGTTCCGCAAAGTGTAGTTTCTGTAGTTTCCTCAGGCACATGTTGGCACACATCACAGTTTTTTTCTCCCTGGAGTTGTAATTCTATGGTACAGGAAGTAGACTTGTCATGTGACTCACAGGGGCAAGTCATGTTCAGTGACTCACACCTGAGTCACCGCTAGAGACAGCATGACTCATCACCAATGAAAGCCCGGGAAATATTGGATCAACAGCAATTATTCATGAGGACGCTGGATGTAGTCAGAGTTTGGGTGTTACAAAAGGCACAAAAGCTCAGACATTTCAAAATCATTTAGCTGCCATGGCTGTGATGACTCAGAGCAAGCACATGATGGTAGTATTTCTCCTGTGTCATGTACTTTAACATGTCTGGCTTTACACTTCAAATGTTGTGTATGTTGCCCACAGCAAGAAGGTTTCACAATCAAATGTTAGACATTAAAGGGATTTAGAAAATATCGCTACTGCGTTTTCTGTATTTTTAGGAAAGACACCCCTTTTGCAAATGGTGAAACATTTGAACTCATGAATTTCACCATAAATATTCCCAATTTCATAACCTACATCAACACAATTGTTTTGTATTACAACGTTTCTGCAATGCAAATGAGACCTTATCTAATGTTTAGTTTTGGCCAATTTAAAATACATCTACAGATGCAGACGTGTCCCAAGTAGTGCCTAACTAGTCTGAACATAGACTAGTTATGGAAGCAAAATAACTTTAGCCACTGAGTTGTGCATTAAAACAATGTTTTTGTCTGGGGTATCTTGTCTTAAACTTTATTGTTGTCTTTCTCATTAAAGCTATCCCAAGAAGAGATGGAGAGACGTAGAATAAGAAGGGAGCGGAATAAGATGGCAGCAGCAAAATGTCGCAATCGCCGTCGGGAGCTAACAGACACACTGCAAAATGTGAGTGCAAATTGTAAACATGTTATGACATTAATGCTTTAAAAATAATGCATTGTCTCAAAGACACATGAGAGAAATTACTTATGTGTTTCTCTTTTACTGCTTTCCTCCTGGTGTAGGAGACTGACATACTGGAAGATGAAAAGTCAAAGTTACAGAAGGAAATAGCACAATTAGAAAAGGAGAAGGACAAGCTTGAGCTGGTCCTGGAAGCTCACCGTCCCATTTGTAAAATAGAGGGATCGGATTCAGATTCGGACCCAAATCCATCCATTTCCTCTTTGGGAGGCATCAAACTGGAGCCACATGACTTCAGCAGACCCGGACCCTCAACCAGACAGCCAACAAAAGTAGAGAAGCCTAAACCGAGGATAACCATCCCAACCAAACGTGAAACAGCGGCTGCCTCGTCTGCTGCCTCTGAATCAGAGTCTCTCCACACTCCGGTTCTCGCATCCACTCCCTCCCTCACGCCCTTCACAGCTGGTATGATTTTCACCTACCCCTCTGCCTCTTCGGACACCAGCGCCTCCACCACGTCCCATGCTTCCTCCCATCATGGAAACATCCACCACTCTCAGGTCCCACAGCCCTGCGGGATAGCCCACCGCCGCAGCAGCAGCAGTGGAGACCAATCGGATCACTCCCTGCACTCCCCGACCATCCTCACGCTGTGATCAAAGCCCGCAGCACCCTGACAAAACAGTAATGTGTGAGAGGAGGGATCTCTGGGGGTGTGAAATGAAAACGATGATTGTGTTCAGCATTTCAAAATGAGCTTCATGTCTTATTTCAGAAAGTAGATCTTTACTTGGATGATATGCCAATTAGAGGCCCGATTTTGATAAAAATGTTACTATTTTTTGTATTGATACAAATATAGAGTCTTTTACCTTTCATTTTAAAAGCTATTATGTAGAGTGAACATGTTTGAAGTTTATTAGCAAAGCATTGCATGCAGAATTTATAATACAAGCTTTTCTAGAGAAATAACTATAACTCAAACTAGTAATATAATAATTGTGATATTACAGTAAATGTTGAATTGAATGCCTTTTTTACATTGTTACATCATGTTTTGTAACACTTTATAAACGTCCTCAGCAAGGGAAATAGACTACTTATAAACAAAGTTCCTTATTTTTGTACGAGTCCTCTAATAAATCCTAATATTGTCTATGCAAACGATTGACCACTAAGGCTGGGCCGTAGGAGTTAATATAGATTTTATAATCACATATTTATATTTCCAGAGTGTAATATATATATATTTGTAAATGTTTTTGTTGTCTCTGATCGGTTGTGTTTGGCAGTGCCTTACTTTTATTTTTGTCAAAGTAGTAATACTGCACAGACAATAAAGAGCTAGCATGTATACAATTTGTGATGGTGTTATTATTTACAACCAAACGAAGAATGTGAATATCCTGAGAATTTAAAAACAACCAATTCATCAAATTAAATTAAGAATGAAACATTTAAAGTGTAAAGAAGATGTGTAAACTTTGTGAACACCAAGACACAGTTCAACCTAAAGAGGAACAGCAACACTTTTGGACTTATGAGTATTACATTCTTTTATAGTAAATTGAAAGAAGATCCTTCTGCATTTAACTTGAAATGAATTAGTAATGTTCGTTGGTTGAAGCTTTTCAAACGTGAGGTTTTGCAGCTGTCTTGGGTTAAGGAATGCTTTTCAGAATAAAAATTATAATTGCAATTTTTCTTTCTCTTTTTTTGACTGTGTTTTGCATTTTACATGAAAATGCAAATGAGGGAAACAATATATAATGAAAACAATCACAACTCTTTTACTGACACTTGATAAAAGCATTTGATGGCTGCAAATTACACTGAGAATGTGAACACTGTGTTCTGTCTCCCAAAATGAAGTGAATCTCATGCTAATACATACACGGCTCAGAGGGCATTGGATTGCTCTACTAAAATGGGGTTAGAGAGAAAAACGAGATGGAACGAGAGTCAGAGTGAGAGCACTATAAAGCATGAAGAAATCAGCATGTGTGCTGCCGTCAAAGGACTTTCGTGCATCACTAAGTGGCAGAAAGCATTACTGCCCTCTTCAGCCCTCCACAATATGCAAATAGGGATCCAAAAATAAAACTGATGAACATCCATAAAGTCAGTATGTGTGACATGGCTGGAACATCAATCACGCGCAGTCATTTAGACATGAAGGTCAAAAACAAGTGCAGAAATCAATCCTTTGTTTCTATGTCATGTGTAAATGCTTGTTTCTGCAAAGTCAAACACACAAAGAAAGGTCAGAACAGTCGAAGTGTCATCATACCCACTGTATTTAAAGCTCTTCAATGCACTACGAGCATAGCCCACCAATAAAACAGCTAACGACAAAATAAATCTTTTCTAATCCATGTGCATTATCTATGATTTAACTGAAATTGGTTAGTTATGCAAGTTAATACAGATAAATCAAGAAAAAGAAAGGTCAAAGTTAAGACTATCCCTAATGTTACAGAGTAAATACAAAGCATGAGATACAGAAGACAAAGCTGACTGTCGCCAACTTAAACAAACTCTGTGATATGCTAATTGAACATCGAAAACAATGTAATAAAAAATGTAATACAAGTGGATTTAAACAGCTTGAATAGAATACAAATCCTTAAAAGTTGTAGACCTTCCAGTTTGATACAAAGAGTTTCCAGTTGGATTTTTAAAAAAGTGACAGAACTTGTTCGCTTCAGCTCTGAGTGAGGTCCAAGGACATCTATCATGTCTGATCCTAAACGTTATGACCCGTGTGCTGGCTCTGCCCAGGCTCTCGATCCTTATGCACAGCAGCCCCACCCACATGAAACCTGAAGGGCCTTCACATCAGACTGGTTAACAGGCCTGTACACATTGTGACAATCATCATGCACATATGGCACTCCAATCCTGTCCTGAGGAAGAGAGTGCATCAAATATTACACATTATTGGGCATCTAGCAAAAGCAAATATCAAATAGTTTCTTTTTTTTTCTTTTATCACAACTCATCTTTTTCAGTGCTATTGGAATTCAGTGGACTAAATATGGCTCAAAACTGGATTGAAATGTCTCTTTAGATCAGTGATTTAAAGATCCATTGTAACGCTGTCCAGTGCAATAGAAAAAAGGCTTCTACCAGTGTAGGCTATTCCAGTGCATGAGATAATTTTATGTGACCCACTTTTTTGGTCCCATTTCTTTTTTTCTTTTTTTAGACAACAGACCACTGAAAAAGGAGAATTTCCCCAAAACAGAGGAGTCATTAGAAAAAAAATACTGTAAAATGTAGATACACTATCATCTGGAAAACATCTAGTCATTGTCTCTGTAAAGTCCTGAAATAGTTCATAGTGGTAGATTCTTTGTCAAGTGAAAACCTAGTGGCAAACACATCGTTGCAGCATTCAGAAAGCCCTAATGCTTGATTTGCACCAAATTGATTTGTATTGTCTGACAAAGCGTCTGTGTCTCCATTAATCACCCCTACGATTTCCTTATTTGACATGAACCTGGCGTCAGTCATCAGGAGAGCACACCAGGTGCAGCTGGTCCGGGCTCCCCACGCTGCCGGTGCTGGAGGACCCGTCCCCCAGGTCCCGGACCACCATGCAGGGCAGGTTGAGCTCACTCGACCCCCCGGGGCTGGAGTCACTCCTGCTGACACACTCCTCCTCCAGAACCAGGCACAGCTCCTTCAGGTCCAAATTCTCCTTCACCAGCCCGTCCTGCATACGCTCCAGGTCGGCCAGCTTTTTCAAGTAACCGCCCAGATCCTCCCGCATCACTTTGGCTGCGTGATGCCCGAACAGCTGCCATTCCCTGGACAGCTTCTTCACTTTGAGCCGGTCGTCGTCCAGGAAGCAGCACAGGTCCCGCAGCTCCACGTTTTCCTCCTGCAGGCGCTGATTGATGACTTTCAGTTCCCTGATTTCAATGAGGTGTCCCTGAAGCTGTTTATTGACCTCTTTTATCAGCCGTCCACGCTGAATGAGGGCTGATATTTTCTCTGTCTCCTCTTTACGCAGCCGGCTCACCAGCTCCTCTTTGGAGCACGCCAGCAAATCGTCGTCAGACATCTTTGACAGTTCTCTGTTTATTATCTCCCCTTCGCTACCCATTTTCTATTACAAAAATCTACACCTAAATTGTAGGCTACCTGAGAATCTGTAGAAAGAGAGATGTAGCTGGATGCTTCAATGCTCAACACAGAGCCATCACATCCTCCTCCTCTGCATATTTTCAAGATATATATGTAGACTATGCAATTACTAGAGCACCGGAGGCCAAATCATGGCGCAAACATGTGATTTCTTTACTTAGATGGATTCCTTCAAGGCGCTGTGACTCCAGTCCTTATGTGTGCTGAACCCGGTGGCTGTTTTTCGTGGATGATGTCTTAATGAGGTCGTGGATGAAACCCCCATTAATGTCAATCTGTCATCCTCGCAACAGCAAGCTGTGTGCTCCAAAGGCCTCCAGGAACACAACTGTCCCGATGTTACCTCCTTTCGCAGTACTTTGAAGACAGTAGCCGTCCGATGGGCTCTTGTGTGGGCCTGCTGAATGTAAAAAAAGGCCCGGTTGATCCACGGAGGCTTAATCCAGCAGCCTCGGATGCACACCCTGCTGCAGATGTTGTGATTTTACGTCGCTGGCATCGTCTCAGCAGGCTGGGCTCTGTTCACCACGGCTGAATGAACTCCGTTCCCAGGTGGTGGTGTCGGTGCAGCAGCTTTTTCAAAAACAATTCATTCTTTAGATAAAAAAAACAAGCGAAAACTAAATAAACCAAAATCCAATCTCATCGTTTATCCGATCACGGTAAGTGCATCATCGCTGCTCATCCTCTGGGGCTGGACTGTTACCACAACAATGTCCGCCTCCGCCACTTTCACAGCTCTGATTCCGCTAAGCAGGGTGTCAAGCTCAAACATTACCGGAAGTCCGTCTTTAGCGCCTTCAAAATAAAAGCACGCGCATTTTAAATGGTAATGAAGTAGCCTAAGTGAAAATGTTTTGAATAAACTGCAATTGAGTTGTATTGTTTGTTGTCATTTTTTGTTTGATGGTGTCTTACTTGGGGTCCAATGGAATAAGGTTCCTCAGTAACATTAATTTATTTAGAGTGGTTTGGCCGGAAGCTTAACGTTTCATGACGACTGCTGCTTTGACACGTTTAGACAGTATCAAACATATTTGTGGTTTCCTCTGAGGTTTGCAGTGGCTATTCGCATACCTTCCTTTTGACATGGTAGTAAATGGCAACGTGTAGAATCGATCGTCTCAGTGATTTAGATGAACTGAATCCGACCCTCTCAGCAACATTATAGACAACCTCAATATATGAAGGGGAAGATGTGCTCCATGTGCTCTCTCAGTAAGGAACTTGTGTGCCCCCATTTGGATTTAAAAACACACTTTCCCCTTGTTTATTCTATGAAACCAAAACAAGACGGATTAGCACATCACAAAGAAAATAAGTATAAAGGCATTTGTAATTCCACAACTGTTTTCTGTTTATTTGAATAGACTCCTCCTTAAAACATCTGACTATTGTTACTATCCCAAAACCTATGCAGATGATAAAGGCCTATCATAAATATGCCCTACACCCCTTTGCAGTTCACTACAATGGAATATGTACTGTACAGTGTAGTTGTATTAAGGGTGACTTTGGCTGTAGGCTCGTTTCTTTTCAAAGAACACATGCGGAAAGTGTGACTTCAGGCTTTTTTCCATGGGTTTATGCTGAGGCATTCAGCCACATCCTTCCGCCCTCTGTCCCACCTCCATTGTTTCACTGAGGCCATAACAATGTAGGGTGTTAACCGTGCAAGGGGGAACTGGGGATGGAATCAGGGTGTCATGTGAGGTTAGAAATGAGAGTGTTGATGAGCAGCGAGGGATCCGACAAAAAGACATGTTGACTGAGTCGTTTTCCCTTCTGTTGTGATTTTTGAAGGACACATGCAGAAACACAGACAGGGAGGGTGAGGATAGGGATTTGCAAGGATTTATTTAGATTAATCGCCGGAGGAAAAGAGAGCAGATTGTGTACACGTAGCAAGCAAACCACAGAGATGGTCACACAGAGTCCTTTCTCTGACCTGACACATTTAAAACAAGAGCACAAATAGAAAGGACAGACATGGTAATATGAGTCTTCAATCGTCCATTGTTTCTTCAAGCCATTGATGGCTTTCCTTTTTCTTTTTTTTTAAATCAATGGCATTTTTGTGTTGAGTGAGGTTCTTGGGTGTATACTGTAAAGTGATAGGTCCCAATCATTGAGCCATAGCCTATAGAGTTTATTATCCTTATATGCATTCATCATAGCCTGCATGTAACACAAAATATATATATATATATATATATATATCAAAATGAATACAAATATAAAAAGATCATGCTTTCATCCTATTGGTGTTCAGACAAATTCATGTGGCGTATTTTTTTCCATGCACTGCCCTTTTCCCAAAATCGATTTTTATTTAATCGAAGAATACACAGCCCTGTTTATAACAGTTTTTTTTTATTGATGATCAATCCTCAATTTTCTCTACGCTGCTCTATTTGGCCTGTGCAATGTTCATTGGTCAGAAAAGACGCCTTCACCTGAATTCATACGGTTAAATATTTTACTCTGGTTTAAACCAAAACGACAAAGACAAAAAAAAGAAATTGCCTAATATTATTGGATTATTTTTCGTAATAACAATTATTATTACTACGCATAGTTTAGGGGTTTAGTGGATTGAGCCACATTTTACCCATACATAATTACAGAGGTCTGCGTTGGCTCTACTGTAACTAAAGCACTGGAACGCACAGAACCGTTGCTACAACTGTTGCTATAATAGAACGTTGGAACGTTCATTGTGTCATGGTAACGAGTAAGAAGCGTAAGAAGCGACAAAAAGCGGGAAACGCAGATACATTAGAACGTTGAAGCCAATTTCAGCTAAAAGGGGAGGTTCGGCTATAACCGGATGCTGCTAGAGCAACAACTGTACCAACATGATCGTTTCAGAATAAAAGCATACCCTTTTTACAGAAAGGTGACTTGATAAAAAAAAAGAAGAATATTACTGATTCAACAAAGGGAAGTGGTAGCTAAGTACATTAGTCAAGTGCTGTACTTAAGTACACTTTTGTGGGACGTGTACTTTACGCAGAGGTGGGAAGTAACTAAGTACATTAAGTACAGTACCTAAGTACAATTTTGAGATACTTGTACTTTACTTGACTTTTTCAAAGTTATGCTACTTTGTACTTCTACTCCACTACAATTCAGAGGTAAATCGTGTATGTTTACTAAACTATGTACCTTTAGTTACTTTGCAGATTTTGATTAATCATGTGAAATATAAAAAAACACTTAAATAAGACTTTAGCTACACCTGAAGTAACATTCAAAGACAACCCAGCAGCATACAAAGTAATTCAAACTAGCTGCACCTTTACAAGTTGTGATAAACGAAGGAATGCATACAAAATCAGAAATCAAAACATATAATTCTCGATTGGGCCAATCTGCATAATAAGTACTTTTACTTTTGGTACTTTAATTACATGTTGATGCTAATACTTTTGTACTTTTACTTGAGTAACATTTTTGATTGCAGTACTTTTACTTCTAACATAGTATTCATACCTACACTCAGGTACTTCTACTTTTTACTTAAGGACAAGATCTGAGTACTCACCGATTACATCAGTTTTTTCAATTGGACAATTGTGTGTGTGTTTGCGCATACAATTGTCCTTTTAAAGTGTTTGAAGGAAACAACAACAACAACAACCATAATTGAGAACAGAGTATTAAACGTTTGAGAAATGTGTAGCGCCTTTCCTGTGACGTAATAAAACCGGAAGTCTGTTTAGCCTGCCTGCTGTTGTTGACACTGAGCACAAATAGCTATATCATTTGGTTGATGTTCGTGTTTTAGACCACCTACGCTAATTAACCGTTTAAGTCGTCAAGTTGAGTTGGTCTTAATTTAACCTTTCGTTGTCTGGTTGTCAGTTTAGTCAGCGCTAACACGTGTAGCTTAGCGTCATAGCTAGCATCAGTAGCTAACCTCTAAGGCAGGAAGTTAGCTCATTAAGACGCCATGGAAAGAACATTTAAGTTAATCCATTCATAACATTCAATGGTATACTTCGCCTGTCAGCTTTTATTGTAGCTTTTGCGCCGCGAACTGGTCGGAACAACACTCAAACAAGGTAAATTGTGTGTTATTATGAGCTAATCTGGTTGTTGATAAAAAATAATAATGGTCATCTCCTGATCTACTTGCTTTCTCTATTTCGCCTCCACCCAGATGACTATGGAGCTGGATGTCTTCGTGGGTAACACCACTATCATGGATGAAGAGGTTTACCAGCTCTGGTTGGATGGATACACAGGTATGAGTGATAACATAGACTATGGGTCACAGTGTTCTTCAGTAGACTCACTGTGACACACACTGTTGAGTAGCTTAAACAGGGTCCAGGTTTGTTGGGGTGTTATCTTACAAAAAGGCACACAATGTGTTTTTTTTTCTGCAGTTAAGCACATCATTCAAATGCAGTTATTTCCAAATCTGGGGTCAGGACCACCCAAAGGTCACACGATACATCGGAGGGGTCATAAGATAATAACACATATTGGTAATAAAGAATACAACATATAACTGCCACTCAAATTATGTTAGGATATTGAAATTGGAATATGACTCACACTCTTGGTGGGAATAGTCCTTTTTGCATCAATATTATTTTTCTGCCATTTGGATACTCTCAGATATCTCAATATGTTTCACAATATCTGTTAATAGACACCGTGTTCCTTTGTAGAGTTAGCTGAAAAATGGGGAAACATTAAGAGAATTAAACCTATAATGATTGTGATGTATTTTGTAATTGAGATCATCATCTTGTGCTATTTACTAGTAGCCAATGTTAAGCATAATGATGGAAAAATAATTCCATGTGTTGCTGTATATTCAAACCACCAGTAGCTTTGTTAGCCAAGGTTATTGTACATGACTACAGCCTCAGTGGGATCATGAGGTGTCTGATCTATCCAACAGTGTTCGATGCAGTGAAGGTACGAATAGACGGAGGAGTGATGGAGGAGTGTGAGGCGAGTGCAGATGTTCTGCTGAGTGACACCATGGACCAGTACAGAACTTTCCAGATGTGTGAGCGTCTGCTGCACAGTCCATCTAAACTAGGCAACCAGCTGCTGTTTCAGATCCCCCCCCATCGACAAGCCATGCTCATCGAGAGGTGCAGTAATAATTTCTCATTCATTTCTTCTTCAATCATCAAATGTGTTCAATGTCTTTTTCTATCCCTTCTTTTAACCAGGTATTTTCACTTCTCAAGGCATTATGTGTATTTGTTATTAAACACAACTCATTTATCCCTTCTTCTTAACATAATAAAGGAAAATGTCATTTTTGAAGTTTCCTCTTATGACTCTGGTTTCCTTGAATAGATACTATACCTTCGATGATGCATTTGTCCGTGAGGTCCTGGGAAAGAAACTCTCCAAAGGAACCAAGAAAGACTTGGATGATATCAGTGCCAAGACAAGTGTGACACTGAAGAGCTGCAGACGACAGGTAAGAGCATCACAACATCACAATAGGCTTGTTTGAGACGTGTTGCGGCTCGCCTTCGAAAGTAGACGAGAATAGCCGATCGCAGCCGGGGGAGGTCTCAAAAAGCTCGCCTGAAGTCAGACAGCCCCGAGACGGCTTCTTCTTCTTCTTCTTCTTCTTCTTCTTCTTCTTCTTCTTCTTCTTCTTCTTCTTCTTCTTCTTCTTCTTTGCCTTCTTCTTCGCCTTCTTCTTCTTCGCCTTCTTCTTCTTCGCCTTCTTCTTCGCTTTCTTCTTCGCTTTCTTCTTCTCTCGGTTTTTTGGCGGATTGCAAACAACTTTAAGGTGCATACCGCCACCTCCGGAGTCGGCTTGACTCGGTTTGCATTTATAAAGAATGCACACATGTGTTTAATCGTTCATGTCAGATATGTACTAAGTAAATACATGTGTTCCTGCTCAAGATTAGATTCAACTTTATTGTTATTGCACAGATTACAGGTACTGAGACAACAAAATGCAGTTTAGCTTCTAACCAGGAGTGCAACAAGCAGTAAAGTGAAAAGTAATGTACACAATCTACAGAATAAAATATAGAATGAATTGAATGATGAATAAACAGTGAGGGGTATGAATACACTAGATATACACAGCAGCCTGTGAGCAGTATGAACAGTGTGTATGAATATGCTAAGATATATAAAGTATGAAAACGGTAAGCAGTGCAAGTATAGTATAAAATATATAGATATTAATTTCATGATGATAAACATTGTGGAACAATGATGAAAAATGTTAATGGAAGGGGCGACGTAAAACTGACACAAAACAACAACAAACTTTTGCCGAGCCAATTGGAGAGCTTCATCAGCAGCACGGGGTAAAAACCACCAATGAGCGCTCAGCTCGAGATACCAGCGAGTCGTTTCCCATCAAGCATTTCGCTTCCGCAGCCCGTGGAGAGGAACTGCGCCGCCTCGCCGCGCCTCGCTCTCAAGGCTGCGGGCGTCTTTGTCCCGCGAGATTTCAACGTCTCATGTAGGCGAGCCTCCAGAGCAAGTCGGACAAAATGAATAACCATCATGCAACACACTAGCAAGACGTTGATCGCAACTGGCAGGTCTGCTCAGGTCTCGCTTGTCTCAAACAAGCCTAGTGACTGTTCATCTGTTCATCTGTATCATACGAGTGCCCACTTTTTCAGATTTTCAGCACTTTAAAAGCACCATATGTCATTTTATGAAGCTTTTGGTGAAATTGATTAGAAACATGTTTATTGACTGAAAATCTGAAGAGGTCTCCTGTCCTCCAAAACTAAAATACCTGGATATTAAAACAGATAAACTGTGATTTATGTTCAAATAAACTGTTTCTCAGATGTTATTTGGCTGCTGGGAACATTTGTAGATCTTGCTTCTTTCTAAGAATCCACCTGGTTAAAAGAAATACCAAAAACTATGGTTGTTAAAAGTTGGCATAAAACCAAACTAAATGTAACAGACCTTGATCACCTTGATTCAAATGACTGGGATTGAAAATTGTTGGAAACATTTTGAATAATGAGTGGTGTTCCCAGTTCTTTGCACTTTCTACTGTACTATTCTGTTTTTACTGTGTTTTATACAAGTCAGGTTCTGATTTGATAAAATCTCCTGTCTCACGTGTTTCATTTTAGTTTGACAACTTCAAACGTGTTTTCAAAGTTGTGGAAGAGCTGAAGGGACCCCTGGTGGAGAACATACGTCAGCACTTTCTTCTTTCTGACAAGCTTGCAAGGTAAAAAAATGACTAAGAACGGAGCACAAATCTCTCTGCCTCAGATTTATTCTTCAAAGTATTTCTTCAAAACCATTCTGTTGTAGTGTTTATGATAATTTACTGTATGAGTTTTTAGGCTAACTCTTACAAAAAAGCACCTGAAAATCGATTATGGTTTAGTTAAACAAGGTTCTGACTGATCGTCTTGTTTATTTGTTAGCTCTTTTAATGCTTTCGTCATCTATTTCAGGGATTATGCTGCCATCGTTTTCTTTGCTAACAATCGCTTTGAGACGGGGAAAAGAAAACTGCATTATCTCACGTTCCAGGACTTTGCGTTCTGTGCTGGGCAGCTTATCAGCAACTGGACCGTTGGGGCAGTTGGTGAGCCCTTTGTCTTGTTGTCTTTGGCCGTTTGCTGTCATTTTGATCTGGAATGTAAGGGACGTGTATAACATTCAAATCAGTTACGTATCATATATTTACTGATGTGTAAGCCTCAAACTGAGACACATTAAGAGGATTAATATAAGTGGTTAATGCAAGGAAAAATAACAACTGTAAATTGAGCCAACATTTAAAACAGTTTGTATAAGAAATGTATATAAATTGCATATGAATAAGAGGTATACTGTTTATGTTGCTATTATGAATATGGGACATTTAGAGCAGAGCTTCCTCCAATGAGACACACTGACCACCAGAGGTCCTTCAGGTTTTAGAGATCCTCGTTAAGATGAAGAGGCATTTACATTTTGTAGTTACCAATTAGTACAATTAAACATTTGAATTGGGTTGGGCACAGTCTGATAATAATTGTGAGAAAAAGAAGTGATAACAGTTGTAAGAATAGGCATCCTTTGAACTGATTTTGCAGTGTTTGACTGGAGTTTCCTCTGTAGATAGCATGGTGGAAGACATGGACGTGGATCTGGATAAAGAGTTCTTACAAGATCTGAAAGAACTGAAGGTTTTAATCACTGACAAAGATCTGCTGGATCAACACAAAAGGTAACGGCAAAAACTGAGCACTACATTTTCTTACTGGCTTTTAATTAAAAAAAAATGTCCACACTCCAATTGACGATTTCTCTTTTTGCTTTCCCTCCTCTCTGGTCAGTTTGGTGTGTACAGCTCTCAGAGGGAAGACTAAAGCTTTTACTGAGATGGAGGCTAATTTCAAGGTGAGAAACATTACATCTGAAATGTAATCCGTCAGTAACTCCTACGATAAAAGTACGTTTTTTGAAAGTCACTATTTTCTTCTTTTATAGAATATTTCCAGGGGACTTGTCAACATCGCCGCCAAGTTAACAAACACAAAAGATGTCAGAGACTTCTTCCTTGATCTTGTGGAGAAGGTGTGTACTTCTAAAAAAATGTAGTTTCTTTCTTTTTTCTGTGAGATAATTCAACCCACATTTCTGAGGCCAGTCTGCCTTTGAGACGGTGTGATGTAACGCCTCCACCCCTTCCCCCCCCCCCCNCCACAGTTTATTGAGCCGTGTCGCTCAGACCGATGGACAGCTGCGGACGTCAGACTCTACCTCACTCACTACACCAACTCTGCACACATACTCGACACATTCAAGTGAGTTCATGTGTTTTGATTGTGTTACTCTTATCAAGTAGAGCTCCAACTCTGCCGAGGTTCTAATTCCCATAGCGGCGACCCATGCTATAAATACAGTCAGCGTCTTTTAAAACCTCCTGGAGAAACCTCCCCAGTAACTGCATATTATACACACTCAGGCAGTCTTTAAAGCCGCCCAAGCTTAAAGGTTGTATGTTAAACCCTCTCTAATATTGACGTCTCTGTTCTACCAGTGGGTGTCACCCTATCTCGCCCCTGATTTCTCAAACTGTAGTTACCTTGTTTCTCCTGCAAACACTCTGGAATGTGGTTAAGGGTTTACACAGCCCTGCACCACTACATGCTTAACAAAGAGATATTCATAAAAAGAGACATAGACCCCCCGCCCAACACTATTACACTGGAGTGGACAAAGATTGCTTCATTTACTTCACCCAGATTTCACAATTACAGTTTGCCATGAGACTTACAGTAGCTATTTGCTCCATTTACTTACAGTTTGCTCAATTTTTTCCTCTCTTTTCTGCCCTTAGACACCAGGTTGTGTGGGACAGATACATGGGCGTCATCAAAAGCTGTATCTTCAAAATGTATCACGACTGAAGCGCTTTTTTTGAGGCTCGCCACGCCACTTCTCCCTGCTCTTCCCCCTCGACAAAGCCGTCGTTCGTGCTGTTTCCATTTCTTTTTGTCAGCGGTGATGAATCCTACTTCTCATGCCCCATTATCCCCAAAGAGTGTCTGTACATTTGGTTTGTAAATAAACTTAACATATATACATCAAAATGTCATACTGACTTGTTATAATTGAATGTTCCAGGGACAAGATTATATGATCTTGTGAGTGTTGGATGGAGATTAGAGATAAACAGAGAACGGGAAATGATATCGTTAAAGTAAAGATGGGAGATTTGTAAAGCCCTGCCTTTTTAGTCTAAGCTGTATTAAATGTTTTAATTTTAAAATAGGACTAGTAGAGTACATGTGTCATGGATTCAGACCTTTTCCCGTGTCTGTGTGGTCATGGAGGTAAGGGACTAACCAGGGGGGAACAGTTGGTCCAGCTAGGGGGTCTTCAGCGTGACTTTGTCAACATCCCCCTGTAATGACAGCTGCCGTCAGTGCCACCACCCAGAAATACAGGACAGATAAACAATCAGATGTCAGTAATGGTTTTTAACTAAATATTTACTTTTAAAACAGGAGAACCATAAAAAATGACTACTATAATGTTCGAAATAGCATGACTGTGCACTCCAAATATACAAAGATTGAAGATGTATAGTTGTGAGTTTAAGTGCATGCTGTCATTTTGTAATCCGTGTCATATTCATCTCAATGTTTCCTCGAACTGCAATTAGAGTATTATATGACTGCTGCTCATGTTCAATCGGCTTTAGGAAAGCTCCTGGGGAAATACAAGTGTGACCTTAAAGTCTGACTTTAAGTTGAGTCAGACTGAAACTCATAAAAACTAAAGTGGATTAAGCCGCAGCTTAACCAGTTTGCACCGTAACAGACTGTTCTGTTTTGCCAAAGAAAATACTGCTCGAAACGGTTCAGTAACGCACAAGTCATCTACAGAGCAGAAGAGTTGGTCGCAAATAATCATCATATTCTGTTTTCTGCATGTTATCCTAGAAAGTGTCTCTAGTTTATTCTGAGAAATAAGCTGACACATTTTCCGAATAAGTCTCCCCTCTCTTACTCTTCCACTCTCAAATTTTTTGTCCACATTCCATTAACTTCTCTCTCCCCGGCTATAAATATCCTGCATGTCAGATTGGACGAGAGCGAGGGCTTTAGTAGCTTTATGGAAAAAAGAAAAGTAAAACATGGGGGAGGTAAGTATAGATAGATGGGGGGTAAAAGGCAAAAAGGGAGGGAGGAAACGTTGGGAGAGCTTGGGGCTTTTGCGGGGGTTCAGTTTAAATGAAACCAGGTGTGTTGTGGGACCAGTAAGAGGGGGCATTGGGTAAGAAGATGGGGGGGCAAGTGTGTGAATCTGTGAGTTGTTGATCCGCCTGCGATTTCGACGGATTTTGGCATTTGGTACTTGGGCCACAGACCAGGAATTTGCATCCTGGGGGGTCAGGGAGAGGGGGTTTGGAGAGTGGAGGATGGCTGTGCAGGGGGCCAGAGGGAGGGAGAGGGGGGGGGTTAGACTGGGCTGTCCCTCTCTCTCTCTCTCTCTCTCTCTCTCCCTCCCTCTGCATGTGTTCAGCTGCTCCAGCTGTCGGTCTCCCCACTCACTCTCTCAGGGTCATGCAGGCAGGAGTTTAAGGGACCACTTCTCCACGGCAACTCATCGGGACGACCGCAGCCAGCAGCAGGACAATCACCAGAGGGCAGAGGCAGACGACCCATCGGAAAACTATCATCTGTAAGTTTCCCTGTGTTTCTTTAACGTCCGACTAGAAGACATTTGTGTCTAAAGAGAGCCGGTGGACCGTATTTTGCGAGAGTTTTAAGGAGAAGTATCGGAGGTGACATGTAACTCCACTTTTCTGGTAGAGGCCAAACACGTCACAGCTGCACCGCTGCTCTGCTCTCACAGCTACACTCAGCCAAGATAATGTGGCTCGCAGTCTGCCTCTTGGCTCTGGGTTTCAGACTGTAATAGGGGGGTAGACAGGAAGAGGGGTAATGACTCACAGGGCATGTATTGTTGGACATTATGTTGCAAAAGTGATTTCACCTCATCCCTCATATACAAGCCGGTGTCACAATCTCTTCCTTAATGACTCAGGGGGAAAAGTACAGCACACTATTTGAGTGAATGAGAGAAGCTTCTAATGAACAAGAAGACGAACAGGTGGCAGCTACAGGAACGAATACAAAGAAAACACAAGACATAACAACTCAGAAATCTAAGACAGTGAGGGATGCTGCCTCACTAATGTTGCACAGTGTATTTAACATCTGTCCACTCCTAATAGCTAACATGTGACAGCTCTACTGTCATTGTAATGACTCAGATGGGATTATAGAGGCAACAGGAAAGAGAGCAGAGTTCCCCTGAGAGCGGCCATCATCTCGTGCCACACTGTGTGCACACACACTTACATCACAGACGTTTAAAGCTCTTTACACAGGCAGACAGAGCAGAATCACCAGTGGGAGAACTGGACCGGCCCAGAGGGATTCATTACAGCTACAGTGTGTGAGCATCTCCTACAGGCCACTATCCATCACTGACAGTCGACTTTCTCTCTCTCTCTCTCTGTGTGTGTGTGTGTGTGTGTGTGTGTGTGTGTGTGTGTGTGTGTGTGTGTGTGTGTGTGGACGTGTGTGTGTGGGGGGACGTGTGTGTGTGTGGGGACGTGTGTGTGTTATTAACCCCCTGGGTGTGGATTTGCAGGTTCACTGCCACAGTGGTAACGGAGCGTGTTGGCCACCGTGTTTCCAGCAGCTCCACGCACAACCGAGCAGAACAACACAAAGCTAGCCATGTATACACTACAACACATGATGACCATTCTGTGTGTGTGTGTGTTTTCTTGTCTCCATGTGGTCACTTTATAGGCCTCTGGACATCTTGCCTGTTAAATTGTGCTGACTGCGTGAATTTAGAAATGGGTCATCCTGCTGTTTGAGCCCCAAATGGTAGTTATAATAGACGTGTTGTTAAAAGTATACACAACAGGTGTTAGAGCAGTAATGTTTTAAAGTGTCTTCTAGGGCTACAACAAATAGTTAATTTATTTATTATCCATTACTTTGATAGTTAGTTTTGAGAGTAATGGATTAATAATTAGGTCTTTAAAATGTCCAAACATATTTACAAATCTCCAGTTTCTTAAAGGCAATGTCTTTAAAAGTCTCGTTTTGCATGGCCAGCAATCCAAAACACAAAGACATATCATTTGATATATAGAACAAGAAAGAACAGAAAATGCTCCTACAGTATATGTGAAGCTGGATCCAGAGTCAACTGATATTATGGATAATCACAAATTAATTTGCCAATGGATAAATTGTGAGATATTTCCCATGCAAACATGGCAGAAAATGCTGTTACCAGCCTCTCAAGTATTGAGATCTCCCCATTCAATGTTTGATAACATATAGCTGAATATCTGGGGTTTTGGAGTAACAAAACAAGACATTTAAAAACATAAGCTTGGACTTTGAGAAACGAGGATGGACATTTGAACCTATTTTCTCGAAATGTGTTGACTCAACGATTAATTAATTTATCCAGAAAGAATCATTGGTGATAATCGATAATGAAAACAATTGTTAGTGTTAGTCCTAACTGGAACAAACAAACGTTTATCTTTTGCAAAATGACAGAAACAAAATAGTTGCTGATTATTTTCCGTATACAGTCAATAGTGATTACATGGTATCACAGTCAACCTGTTTCTCTCTACGTCAGTCAAATCCTAGACGATAAATTGCTGCACTTTTCACATTCTGCCATCCTTCTACACAGAGGAGAGATGAGCGGTTAGGGGAGCAGTGGCCAGAGGTTTGGCAGCAGCTATCCCCTATGTGAGCCATGGGGGGTTTCCCAGAACCCGATACTCTGGGAAGCCCGGCCGAGGCAGGGCATCCCAGCTGGGACCAGGAGCCCACATCCTCGCCACTGGCATTCCAGAGGTCCACCGCCACTTGATCTCCAGTGCCATCAGGGCCACTCCCATGCATCCCTGCTGCCCACTCTCAGTAGCCAGTGGGTGACTGGACCCCAGACTGATGGTCAGTTTGTTTTTGGGTCACATTCTTGCTGGTTGTAGGTGTCCGCCTGGCCAATTCAGAGAGGTCACGTACTGCGGGCGTGTGATTGCCCGGTGGTTATGTGTTACCGTCTGTGCTTACAGGAGGAGGGGATGTTTTGCTGCCTTTTCATCACGCAAAGGTCACAAATAGCCTGTGATGTCATCCTCACCCTGCGGCCTTTTGTTTGTCTCAACATGAAATGAGACAATAAGCTATGCCTGTAAATGTGAGTTTACACAAGAGCGTGCGTCTGTGCACGTAGACAGCCTGTGATTATAACCTGCTGGAGCTCACTGGCACTTTCTCAGAATCTTTTTTTCAATTCAATCCTTCAATTGACCTGTTTTTCTCAAACGTTTTTTTGGTCTGCGGGAGCTGGAATAGGTGATTTGTTTATGTTTAAAGTCTGTTTAAACACGTATAGCTTCTCTCCAGGAACTCAAACTGAAGGGTGTTTGTGTCTCTGCTGGGAGGAAAGCCCAGTCCATCTGAATACTTGGAATACTCAGCAAAGATAATACACTATAAATCAACCTCGAAAATACACAGCACTGTACATAACCTGTAGTGAAATACTCCGATCTTACACATAAGTAAAAGTAACAAAACTCTATTTCAATAAGGTCTGTATTCAAAATTCTCATTGAGTAAAGGTACATTTCGACCAGCAAGGTCAGAGTACACATTATGTGTAACAGACATTATTATTGTGGGGTCCTTAAGATGATCGCACAAGATTACATTACATTGCATTTAGCTGACGCTTTTATCCAAAGCGACTTACAATAAGTGCATTCGACCAGGAAGATACAACCTTGGAGAAAACAGAATCATATAAGTACATCAGGTTTCATAGAGCCAAACATTTCAAGTGCTACTCAACTGGCTTTAGAAAAGCCAGCCCTTTATTAGTATATAAGTGCTTTGTTGATGATATTATGTTATAAGTAAATTACTTATAATCTTGTAAAACAAGATCAAAAATACTAAACTTCATGGGCTCTTATGTCAGTTAGTTGCAGGACAAAATACAACCCTATTATTTTTATTGGTGATGCCCAGGGCCCTATACTGCACACCATCCTCTCTTTC